GACAACAGACGATGGATGTGAACTGAAACAAAAAGTGGTTTTGACTTGGTACGTGGAAAAACTTAACCACCGTGAGGACAGCCAGACAGCAGAGCACATTGCCCTGAAAGACTGTGCCATCTTCTTCCTTGTCATTTTCCCCAGACTTAACTGGCTAAAGCCCTGAGTAACCTGGTCTGACCTCACGGCTGACCCTGCTCTGAGCAGGAGGTTGGACTGGAAGTCTCCTGAGAATCCTTCCCACCTGAATTCTCTGATTCTCTAATCAGAGTTACTCTCTCTTCCTCACTACTTCTCTTAGAATATCACATTATTAAAAAACTCAGTACACAGTAATCCAACAGGATGAGCTGAAATGATGTTAACTCAATACTGGATAGCATCAAAATTCTTTTCTCCCTCTAAGTCAGCCAACCCCCTCCCTGTGGATGACTACTTCACTGACCCAGTGACATCAGCCACAGTATTTCTATTGCTATGGACACGTGCTTACCACTCACACTCAAAAACATTTGTGCTGATTTATAAACATGCCAAGGAGACAGGAAAGGAGAGGATTAGAAACATGCAGGTTCTAGCATCTGGAATTTATTACCTCATTAAAAGCTCCAATGTTATGGTAGCTAACAACAAGAGGAAAAAATAAACAGAAAAGACCTAGGGGATTGGTCAGTCATACCAGGGAAACATACTTCACGTTGCAATGAGGGGGACATTCACAATCATTCTAATCAAACTACTCCTCATCGGCAAAATGTGAGGCAGCCTTCCCTCTACTATTCATTCCTAATTCAGAAGCGGAAAAAGCAACTGAACTATCTTAAGTGCTGCTGACATCTGCATACAGAGGAGGTGGTTTCTCAATCTAATGCATTCACTTATTGCCAAGTAAGAGAAGTATCTTGACCATCTCTTCCACCAACCATCACCATTTCAGGTACATCTGGAATAAGACTGAGCTGGCTTATTTAAGTGAGAGTAGGATGAGGATGCTTGCAGAGGATCAGAGTCAAGTCTGTTGAGACAGCTTTAATTCTGAATTGCTTTCTGTGCATCCACGTAAGGAGATGCACGATCTAATTCTTTAAGCAAAGTCAGGGACAACTTGGTTCCCCGCTTTTCCAAAGGATAAGAATTAGACTCCAATGACTAATTCCTTTCTCCACTTTGTATTTGTCTACTTATTTTTCCAGGCTACATAAATAAATGTTTTGAAGAAGCAACGGAAAAGTATCTAACTGAATATCTTGTGACTCAGGCAACTAGGACATGGAGAAATGGTTGGTTTGGTTAGTGAAGTAAGTTAAGAGCAGTCTTGGAAATTCTCTGTATCAACAGAAGACGACCAGTGTATGTGTCTCAAATGCCTGGCAAGCTTTCCATGATAGCTTATTTCAGACCAGAAGTCATCTTATTCACAGAGGAGAGGTAGAAAAGTTTGGAAAATGATCAATTCCTTAGTCTAACCTTAAGAAATGGAATTATATTTGGAAAAAATGTGCTTGAATTAAATTAAAGCTTACTGCTGACCTATGAAGGCTAGAACAGTTACATCTACTGGAAAATAATTAAAAATGGAACTAATACCATAACTATTTGTAGAGAGAGATGTAGCATTAGTTCTGTAGCAGAGGCCTCCAACCTTTGCCCTAGCTGTAAATACAGAAAGCATAACCAACAAGTTTTAAGAAAGCTTTGAACACCACCTCTAACAGCTTTTTCTTTTTTAAATAATTACACTGGAAGACAAATTGAATCAAAAACTAAAAAAAACTTAAGCTCCAAAAGAAGAAGAGTCGTATCACTGCAAGTTTTACCCCCCAATCTAGCCGAATTTCCAGTACACTTATTTTGGCACACTGATTTCTTATCCCATGTTCCTCTTGCTTAGCAGACACAGTCTTATCTCTGTCTTTGGATGGCTGAAGTAGAACCTTTACAGGAAAGATTAACTCAGCTATCTTTGCCTTTAAACTTCCAATAAAAGCAAACAACTGTTTTATGTGACACTCCACCTTGGATTTCTATTACTCTGGGAAATTTAAAGAGAAGCAGGCACCTTCTAGGAGGATGTGCCTACCCAGAAGACATATGGGCATATGGAAATGCCAGTCCAGGGATGCCTTAGTCTGTGCAAACCACACTAGATCTGTGATTAGACACAGGACTTGGTATTTCTGAGTTGACAAGCCAACCTTTACATTATAATACAAAGTGTCTCCAAGAGAGATTTGACATACTGCCATACTACTGGAATGAAATCACAGGGAAATCATTAAAAAGGATTGCATTGCTGGGTTTCGTAAATCTCCAAAGATAGTCTCAAGACCAAAGGACAGACTACATGTTAACTGGGTAGAAAAAACTTTTTCCAGAAAACCAGTGATAGAAAGGAATGGAATCTATTGCAAATTCCTTTGACTAAATATATCTGCCTCTTATGGACTATTGCTCCAGAAATTGTAAAATAAAATAAAACTTGTTTCACTATAACACATCCCAGACCTAGATTTGCACAGAGGAGACACTCTCAGGATAAAGTTACATATTATGCCTTTAGATGATTTAACATCTAACCATATGCTAATGGAAAAGATCCTATTTATGCCTCCTCCCTCACAATATGCAGAACACTCCCTTCCTCACATTTTACCAGCGTTCACCAAAAACTGTACCAAACTGATTCAACACTGACTCGAATGTGCTAAAATGAACAACTTTCTGTGGGATTAGCAAGTTGAATTAACTCAGTGAAGGGTCCAACAAGGGCCAAAGCAATGGAATTCACCCTAAGATACTGAGATTGGCATTGTGACTCTCCTCCACCATACAGGTGTGAAAAGACAGCGCAGGTAGGAAGCAGCTGGGGATCCTAGACAACAGAAATTGAAATTGCAGAAGTAACAAAGCAGGAAACCCCAGGCACTGTAGACATCACTGACCTTCCTACTGTCTTGATGCATGCCCCCTTTAAACTCAAATACTCTCTCCCCTCCTTTTCACATTTCTTCACTCGTTACATGTTATCTATCCACTGAGCTTTACCATCCCCAAATCTCTATTGTCTCTCCTTAGTGTTTTTTCTTCCCCACTTAAACTCATAATCGCAGTAACAACAATAGCATTAACGTGACACTCATCACCATTGCACTAATCACTGAGCATACACAGCCCACCCCTTTCCTTTTCCCATTTACTTACACTATCCAGGAGACTGGCAATCACATGTTTATGAAATGACTCTGATAACGAGGTGCTGCAGTAACTACCACAAATACACACAACTACTAGTAACAGTCTTCTGATTGACCTCACATCGTCAATATACAACAGTTTTCCCTCCACATTAAAAGATCCCCCAAACAAACCAACAACACCATAGCCCCTCTCACAACTTTCTTCCTTCCAATGTTCAAAGCTGTGTGCAATTCCAATTAACCTCTTTGATCAACTGGAAAATAAACATGCTGCTTTTCTATAAGATACTCCATTTCAGCACACAAAGAAAACAGTCAACTAGTTACCAAAAGGAAACCAACCTTGCATGCATCAGATCTATTGCAGATAGCGAGCCTCCCATTTGCATCCCTCGCTTTTACAGGATTCTGTACATATTTACCTGTGGCATGAAGAGTCTGAGGTAAGACCCAATATCCAAGTAGCCAACCCTTTGTATCACCAAGGGAGACAAACATTGGCTGCAAAAGCACACACACAGGAACATAAGCAGAACACCGAGGTGACGATGAACAACACACTTCTGAATGTCATGGTACAATGGGATTTTCATAATTTCATAACATCCCAGCTTCTCTCCCACATTGCAGAAAAATAAATGTAGGTGGAACCAAAGCCCTGTTGTTATTAGCATGCAAAGAAAATGAACTTATTTAAATTCACCCATCTGTTCTGGCCAACCGTTTATGAGTAATTCTCAACATTTCAGTCACCTGAAAAGACAGTGAGTTCTAGGCACAAACACTCCTAAGCAGTTAATATTCAGGATCACAGATGATTAAGCCACACAGTGTTTCATTCTTTCAGTTAGCTTTGTTTTTTGCCTGGTTTCCTGGCTGCTTTTTGTCTCTAGCATTTCTCTCCCGTTTCTGGCAGATGAAGTGGAGGTGGAGAAGAAAAGGGAGGAAAGTCCTTGGGCAGCATAAGGATTACAGTAATTTCCAATCCTTCAGCAAGGAAGAGCTTGCTCAGGGAACAGATGACCTAATACTGCTACCTACTCCTCCACCCCACTGTAAGTTTTATTTTTTTTAAACTTATTTTTACAGGTGTTTGCAATCATAAAGTTATACAACCCAGGGACAAAGTTTCGTACATTTATCCCCTTTCTGCCCCCAAATCCACAGGGAAGATACCTTCCACCCATGTATTTCCTCTGCCTTTTTGTTGCTGCTGTGGGCAATTTAAAAAGAAAACTGCAATTCAGAGATCCTCAGTCATGCACCTACAGGTCATTGACATTTGCTTCACACCCAAGCCTGATGTGAATGTAGATGCCACTCTTCAAAAGGACAGTTATGCCACACATCCCAACTCCCTAAATTAAACAACAGTATTAGCACAGGAACAACTTACTTTCAAAACCTTCTTGGTATTCTGCCCGATTACCTGCCCTTGTTCAAAATAAAGGGAAAACTGTCCTCACAGGGCTCTACTTACATTTCCTTTCAGTGTTCTGAAATAAGAGCTATTTAAGATCTTGGATTTTGTTTTCAATTGTAAAGGTCGCCTGGATTGGGTGGCAAAAGGAGTCTGCACTTTTTTCAATAGGGA